GATTAAAGATATTAATTATTATATACATATATTAACACATACATATGAAATATATATTTTCGGCTTTTATGTTTTCAATCTCAAACGCAAATAAAATATGTAATATTATTAAAATACATAAAATTACTTTTTCATTACATTGTCAATTTTAGACTTGTTGAAATGAAACCCAAAAATATAAATTTAAAGGTCTTATAAAAAAACAGAAAATATCAAAAGTCCCCATTAAGGACCAAAATGAATATTCAATTTAATAATAAACTACATAATCGTATATAATAAAATATAACTGATATCTTTCGAGCACTTTCGATAAGTTTCCATGGGCAACATGAAATATATGTACATTGATTAAGCACATACCTATCTTATATGCTGACTGCCTCAGCTGGCAGCCTAGAACTATGTTGAAGGAATATTTTAATAGATTTCCTTTGCAATTCATTTACATCTATTTTATTCAAAAATTTAATTATAAATTATTTGCTCTAAAAATATATCAACAATGAGGAACATAAACCGTTCAATATATACTAATAGAAAGCTCAAGTCTTTAAATCATACTATTTGGCAAGGCTTCCACAAAATATTTGTACCTATTTTCTTAAATTTTTTAAAGTATTTTTTATATGAATTTATTGAAATTAAAAATTTGATATGGGCTTTCCCCTTCCATTTATGTCCTGATGCCATCGCAAATGTTTATTTTAAATGCATGTAACAGCCTGAAGTAAGTAGGCGTGGCAGAGCCCAAAAAGTATATACATTATTCTAGATCTTCCCATGCACGTCTATCGCTGAGATCTCGTCAACTACAAATGCTGGAGACTTGAAATTTGACGTGCCTAATCATGTATAGCATACACAGCACGAGTTTATTTTAAATTTTCGATAGCTCATCAGATTTTTATTATATCAATAATAATCGTGATTTGAATACTTTGAAAGCTAGAAACTTCAGATTTACTGTATAAGTATTGTTTAGGCACATAGATGTAATTTTTAGATTACCCCTTCAGCCCAACTTCCAAAAGAAGGTTTTTAAATAGTAATTTTAAATTTTTTTCTGTTTCATTCTCTTTCATTATTATAGCTGAAATTTAAAATATTAAAACATTGACTTTGTTTTTGTTTTTGTTTTTAATATTTGCATTTATTATTTGCTTTCTGTCGCAGCTTATCGTAACATGTTTTCATATGATCATAAAGAGTGTGCGTGTGTGTATGTATGTTTGAGCTTATCTATTTACAACTTTAAATACTTAAATACTAGAAAAAAAATTGGGGTCAGAAACTAACTAAGCATTATGCGACTATATCACAGTTAAACAAGACCTAGAGCTAAAAAAAAAAAAAAGTGAATTGGGACCGATGCATAAAATCTACTTGAAAATTGTATAATTTAACTTACGAAACTAACTAACTAAAAAAAAATTATAGAGATTGAGAAAACAGTTAATAATACTTTCGAGCTGGTGTTGGATGTCGTATTGGTGTGTGTGTGTGTGTGTGTGTGTGCGGGGTGGGGCAGTTGCGCATATGTGACTAGAACGGCAACTGCTGAGCGGATGCTCGGCGGGGTCAGGTCAGGGAGAGGGGGGATAAGGCTAGGGGCTGGTGGAGCTGGACGACTTACGTATATGCGAACTTTACACTTAATCCGAGATAATATGTGCTAGCTGCTTCAATAAATAATAATACTTTAGAGAGAGATGGTGAGAGAGAGCGAGAGCGAGAGAGAGAGAGAGAGGGAGCAAAAGAAACTTGTTTGCAAACTCCATCAAATAATTTACTTAAACTAGGCGAGCTAAGGGTTGCATATACATAATATTATGATTATGGAGTTTTCACGTGCGCAGCACGCGGCGCAGGTGTCGCTGCTGCTGTGTAGCAGCGTTCGCTGCTGACGGTGACGTTGACGTTGACGCTGACGCTGACGCTGAAGCTGACGCGGACGTAGACGCTGACGCTGACGCTGACGTTGATGCGGATAATGTTGCTGTTGCTGTTGCAGTTGCAGTTGCTGCATGCGGCTGCTGTCGCTTGCCACGCCGCCCCCTCACGCCTCTAACCGCATCGATTATCGGCTTGGACACCTCATTGAACTCACGGCGATTGCCAGCGATGGCCGGCGCCAGCTGCTGTCGCTGTTGCTCCACTTGATGCCACTGGCGCTGCCGCTGTCGCTGAAGATGTTGCTGCTGCTGTTGCTGTTGCTGCAGCTGTTGCTGCTGCTGCCTTTTCTGCTGCTGCTGCTGCTGCTGCTGCTGGTGTTGCTGTTGGTGGTGTTGATGGTGGTGGTGGTGGTGGTGGTGCGGGCGCTGTCGTTGGCGCTGCTCCAGCGGCTTCTGCTGCTCGCGCTCCCGTTTGCTGTGGCGCCGCATCAGCTGCCACATGGTGCGCAGAAACTCATAGTAATGATGCTTCACGAATCGCATGTCCATGGCGTCGGCCTCGCCAATGGCCGCCGCTGCAGCGGCCGCTGCTGCCGTTTCGGTGGTTGTCTCCGCCGCAGCCGCAGCCGCCACCGCAGCCAGCGCCCAGGCACCGGTGCGAGTTTTGCTGCGCAGCTTCAGCCGCTTGTTCATGTCGTGGCGCGAGACGTGCTTCTGGCGTCGCTGCTTGGCGGCAGCGGCGCCGGCACGGCCCGGAGCCAGCGGCGGATAGGTGCGATTCACGGCTGTCTCCAGCTCGCAGAGCATGCTGCGCGAGCTGAGCAACAGCTTCTTCAGCTCCTTGGCCACGTTCGACTCCCGCTTCAGGTACTGCCGGTCCCAGTTGATCTGGACGCGGCGCAAATAGGCGAAGCTAGCCACATAGGTTTGCATGTTGCGGTACCAGCGCTTGAGGGCGATCTGCAAAGAGGAGCAGCAGAGAGGGGGAGCAAGAGAGAGAGAGAGAGAGGGAGACATTAGTGAGCTACTTAATAAAAAAGATATGCATAGAGATAGATATACAAAGAGAGAGAGAGAGAGAGGTAGATATACATACCGTTGAGTTTGGCTTCAGCTTGGGCAGAAATTTGTAATTGTATTTGTGCAGCGACCACATGTGCATGTCTCTGATGTCGATGCCACTGTGATCCTCGGTGCTGTTCAGCTCATGGTACTCCGTGCCGGCGGCGCGCTTCAATTGATTGAAGATCTAAGAGAGAGAGACAGAGAGAGAGAGAGAGAGAGAGAGGGGGAGAGCGAGAGAGAGGGGGAGCGGGTGAGTGAGGAGTTGGAGCTTAATCTGGAGCTGCGCTAGTTACCTGCTTGGGCCGCTGGGCGCGGTTGCGCTCTGTGGCCGAGGGTGTGTGGTAGGAGCCGCCGCAGGGATTGATCCACTCAGGAGCCGTCGTATTCTCGTTGTAGTTGCGATAATCGTACCAGCTGCTGTTCCGCTTGCGATGCCGCTTCCTTTGGCTGGAAGCGGGCACAACGGGCGCTGTGGCGAGGGCCATGTGAATGTTGACGCTGCCGGTGGCTGTGGTGTGGGTCGTGTGGGTGGTGCTGCGGCTATTGTTGCTGCCGCTGTTGTTGCTGCCACTGTTGTTGTTGTTGTTATTGTCGTTGCTGCTACTGCTGGTGGTGGTGGTGGTGGTGCTGTGACTGCTCCTGCTGCTGCTGCTGCCGGTTGTGGTGGTGGTGGTGGTGCTGCTGGTGGTGCTGGCGCCTTCGATGACAGTCAAGCCGCCGCTGGCCGTGGCCATGGCCAGTGTGGCATGCAGATGAACAAAGTGAAGCAGCAGCAGTGGCAACAGCAGATTGGACCACATATCCGCATTGTCCTGCCGCGCAATGCGCTGAAGCCGTTGCCTAATGCGGGGCGTTGTCCTTGTGGTTGCCGTTGGCGATGCCGTCTTGGTGCCTTTAACTTTGGTTGCAGCGCAATGGCAACCAACTATAGATAGATGACGATATATATT